ACAATTTTTGCTAAAATATTTAAAAACCATTTGAACAAAAAGTTTTAAATAAAAAAAATAATTTATAATTAACATTATCATAAGATGAATTTTTAACATCATTACTTAAATTTCATTGATATAAATAAATTTGTTTTTATTTAATTAAAGCTTAAAATAAACATTTGAAGTCAGATAAGTTAAAATCCCCGAATAGTAATAATTGTTTTGATTCATTTTTAAATTGCTTCAATGTAGTCTGGTTTTTGTTGACAATATCTGGGAATTTTTTCCACAGATAAGGTCTGCGATATTTAATTGAATAGGAGGTTTATTTTAAATTATACTTGAGAAGAACAAAGTTGTTATCAGAAAACTTTGTTGAATATTTATGATTAATTTTATTAAAATAGGTTGTTTATTACATATTAAATTAAAATATTTATTTTTAGACGAAAATAAAACCTGTAAACAATTTCTACCTATATTTAATTGTTCAAGTTCTAGTGAAAAGAACGATTGAAAAGAAGAATTACACTGAATAACAACCCAAAAATATCTTGTTTGATGATTACATTTTCTAAAGCAGTTTTTCATGCTGATTACAAATCTGAAAACCGTTTTTCTCTATCACGTCAGGTTTTTAAGATATTAACATAAACATACATTTTTTAATCCCTTATTGTTACGAATGAATAAGAAAATAGAGTTTAGTTTACTAAGTTAATAACAGATGGCAACACTAAACATATTCTTTTGATATTTTAAATTGATATACTCTGTTCTGAAAATAGGTCTTTAGTGTACTTAATTTGTAACTTTATGTTTATTAATGAGTTGTGTGTTTATTATGAGTTATACTATTCCTATATATTTGCTATTTTTTTTCAGTGAAAACAATGGCGTCTAGAGGCTGCATCAATTCACCAGACTTGTTTTGTTATGTGTGCGGCTATCTCACAGACAAAGGCCACCGAAAGACATTTACACCATTTCTGAGAAAAGCTTATGAACTATACTTTGATTCAAAGGTTGACAGCGGCAAGTCATGGGCACCACAGTTCATTTGTTTGACATGTGCATGGAACTTACGGGGTTGGATAAAGAATGCTAAAAATAACAACCATCTGGCATTTGGAGTTCCTATGATATGGCGTGAGTCAAGCAACCACATCACTGACTGTTATTTCTGTTTGACAAATGTCACAGGTTTCTCATACAAGACTCGTTCATCTGTGAAATATCCAGATATTCCCTCGGTTTCAAAACCAATTCCACATGATCTAGTCAGTTGTCCAATACCAACATCACTTACAGAATACAGAGTCGATGATGCAACACAAGAAGAAAGTTCGTCTTCCAGCAACATGGCAGACTCTGACTACAATCCTGATGATGATGAAATTCATTTGATTAATAATGATGATCTTTGCGACCTTGTAAGGGGCCTGGCACTAACAAAAGGTCAAGCTGAACTGCTAGGTTCACGTCTGAAAGAGTTTAATTTGCTATCACCAGGTACAAGAACTTCACAATTTCGACATAGACACAAAGAACTCGTGCAGTTCTTTGCAATGAGTGACAATATGTGCTACTGCACTGACATCCAAGGTCTTATGTCAAGCCTCGGTGTAGAACATAAGACTGAAGCATGGTGTCTATTTATTGATTCCTCCAAGGCAAGTTTGAAGGCTGTATTATTACACAATGGAAACATGTATGCATCAGTACCGGTTGGTTATTCTACTCATCTAAAAGAGACGTACGAAACCATGTCGCTACTTCTTGAAAAAATTTGCTATCGCGATTACAATTGGAATATGTGTGGTAATTTAAAAGTGATCACTATTCTCATGGGAATGCAGACAGGGTACACCAAGTTCTGCTGCTTTATCTGCGAGTGGGACAGCAGAGATAGGAAGCACCACTATATAAATAAGAATTGGCCCATTAGAGATAAAATGGAGCCAGGTAGTAAAAACGTCCTGCATGTGCCATTGGTTGAGCGTGAAAAAGTTCTTATGCCTCCACTTCATATAAAGCTGGGGCTCATGAAAAACTTCGTGAAGGCATTAGACAAAAACTCAGATGCTTTTCGGTACCTATGCAACAAGTTTCCAGAGTTGAGTTATGCGAAAGTGAAAGAAGGTGTATTCATAGGTCCACAAATAAGGAAGATCATAGCAGACAGTCACTTCGAAGGTTTACTCAGCAGAACTGAAAAAAAAGCATGGTTGGCATTTAAGTCTGTTGTAGCCAATTTCCTTGGAAATAATAAATCTCCTGACTATGTAAATATTGTGCAGAAGTGCATTAGTGCGTACAAGTTAATGGGTTGTAACATGTCCCTCAAGATTCATCTCCTCGACTCACATCTCGACTTCTTTCCAGAAAACCTAGGTTCTGTTAGTGATGAACATGGTGAACGTTTCCATCAGGACATCTCGGTGATGGAGTCACGCTATCAAGGCCGATGGAGTGCAGCAATGTTAGCCGACTATTGCTGAATGCTTCAGCGCAACATGCCAAATTGTCAGCACAAACGCAAGTCTACAGCCAAGAAATTCAAACCAAACTAACTTTTAATTTAAGGAACTTTACGTTATACCTATGTATTTTACAAGTGTATTATATTTTAAACTATGTGTATTTATGTTAAGTAGTACTCTATTCAGCGATATATGCTCTACTGTAACTTGCCTGCGAGTTGTTTGCTTTGATACAATATTAAACATATATAAATGGTCAATGCCAAATAACTCAACAACGGTGGGTGATAGAGACAAACAGTTTCTATATTTGTAATCAGCATGTCTTACTTGTCTTAAAACAAGTGTTGGTTTCCAAGATATTTTCCGAAATTTTTTTATATGTTTTTAAATAATCTAAATAGTTTTGTTGTTTTTATTTAGTTAAATAATGAAACTGTTTATACAAAAGATTAGCTCCTTAACTTTTATGTTAAATTTTTCATTTCCTTGTTAACTGTTGTCTCTCATTAACAAAGCAATTAAAATATTACATATAATGACAACAGATTTATCTTTAGAACTGTTTGCAAAATTTTTGGTTTGGATACAAAAAACCAAGTGAAAATGATACTGGAAAGGTACAATTTCTTATATCTAAACATCATTGCAGCTTTCTAGTCTTCATTTTTGTTTATGTGTATTTCATCTGTGTTACTAATGATACCGCGAGTTTTTATAATTTTATGTTGTTAAGTAAAGCATCATTATGTTTCAGGCTAACATAAAGCTTTGATTAATACTTTTATCCAGTTTAAATGAATAACAACTCTCAAGGTGTATTAGCTGAATTATCTTTTCGTTTTGATAGTCTTTAACGGATTTTTAAATTATTATGAGTCTACAACACTTAATTTCAGCAAAATTCAATTAAAAAGTCATGTCATAGAAGACAGAAAAATATAAATGTCTATTTTCAATAACTTGGCTTTCATAGCAAATCTGAGAGGTGCAAATGTTTAGCTTGGTTTAAGTACTACATAATAAAATACATCGTTGTACAGTTATTTTGATGGTTGTAAATTTATTTAGCACACTCATTTTTATTTATTTTTAGACTGTTTACCGTTTGACTCCTGTCCTAATCTAACCAAGTGTGTTCAAAAAGAAGGGACCGCGCTGGAAACAGTCCTTTTTGAATTAATAGTCTTTTTGAATTAATAGTCCTTTTTGAATTAATAGTCGCTAAGTATAATGTGCTCCATTCAGCTAATCATGTTTCATTTGCTTTTTTGTATTATATTTAAGCAATAGAGTGTTTTTTATGTTCACTCGTTTTTTAGAAGCCGTAACCAGTTTGAAGTCGTAACCTGCTCTTATGAAAGGATTTCTCGACGTGAAATAGTTAATTTTATTCAACAACGCCAAGAAACAGAGCTCGCTCAAGAAATAGAAAAGAAAGTGAAAGATGAAAATATATATTGTTTTATTTATAAATTATTCTCTTATATTTAAACATATAAAAGATGTATAAAATGCTTCCTCTTTTATATTGACATCTAAAAGAGGTTTTTTTCTCGGTCTCGGAAAGAGCTTTTTGTCATACTTTGTATGAAGAGCTATTATCATTTTCATTTGAAAAAACTGTTTTATATATGAAAAGTACGAATACTGTAGTGTATAGGATACTATAGTATACTAATAAGTAAGATAAAAAAGTCGTTCCGACCCCGAGCAAAAAACTTTTTTAGAATTGCATAATTGATAAACAAAGACGTTTTAAAGCATCAATTTTTATGTCTTTTCATGACAAGATAAATACAAAAACGACGTATTTTCGATGTCGATAAAAGATGTCTTTTAGATTTGCATATTCGACTAAAAAACGGCGTCTTAAAGACGCATTTTTTGTCTTTTTATAACAAGATTAAGATAAAAAAAAACGTCTTTTCGATGTTGAAAAAAGATGTCTTCTAAAAAGATAAAAATAATTTCTAAGATATTTTAGGACTTTTCAGATTCTGGTGGGATGCAAATTACCCCTTTTAAACAACACCTACCCCCCCCTACCCCATTACCCGGATCTGTAAATGCTTATCAGTAAAAACTGTTTGAGCTGTTTTTTTATTTTATGGCTTTTTAGTTTAAGATTTTTGCATTAGATTAGAATACCTACAAAGTTTCATTATGTAGCAGTGACGTCACTGTTAGGCAGACATTTTTCACTCAAAAAACTCGAGCTTAATTTATAGGTTAATAATTTTTTAAACTTAGATTTTCATCTAAGTTTAAAAAATTTAACACTTTGATATATAGTAAGTTTCATACTTTATAATTAAAACTGTTTATTTTGATTGTTTATGCTTTAAGTTTACATAAAAATAAAAATATTCAAGTTTTAATTTTATTTAATCTTAAAAATAACATTTTAAAGAGGTTTTTAAATTATAGTAATGCTTTTTTAATTTCAGATTGTTTTCAAGTTTGCACCAAGGAAAAATATCTTCTTTATCTTTCTTAAAAGACATTTAAAAAAAAAAAAATGATTCGTGATTTTGTTTCATTTTTTGTTTTGCTACATTCAATTTTAAGAGTTTATTTTTTAAACACATGTTCCACAACTCTTCTTGCAATTTGGCCTCATCCAATTTGGATTTTTATTGCATTCGTTGGCTTTAGCCCACGCGGCACAGTTACTGTGGCTATCTTCACAAGGTGCTAAAATTTAAAATTTAATGTTTTTGATTAAAAGAATTTTGTTTACATATTCATCTTAACAGCACCATAAAATCATTATATATTATATTTACTAGTTTATAAACTAAAAAAATAGATGAATTAGGCTCAAACTAACCTGGAGTTATTCCAGTGACACCGCTACACTTATACATTTGATTTATGGCTGCGATATCAGATTTCGAAAATTGATTGTTTCCGAGTTTCAAACCAGGATTATTTTTTGCCTGAATTGTATTTTTGCCATTGGCAGAAAACTCATCGTTTCTGTAATGCATTATTGAATTGTGATCATAAGTTTGACCATAGTATTCTGTTCGATATTTTTGAAAGTTGTAATCCTCGCCTAAATAAATTTATTATCTAAATATATTATCATTTATGCATATTATTATTTATATATACTATTATTTGTTTATATTATTGTGGTATTGCTTTGATTAATTTAAAACTTTGTTTTACCTTTAAACTATACGTCCAAATGGCATCCTTTGGTAGCCCGTGGTCCGTTGGATAGTGTATATGTAGCCTGTATGATAATCAACAGAGCTAACAAAACTGAAGGGGCCAGGGGGCAATAAACCACCTCTCCCCTTCCTTTCATTTTAAAGAAGTTTCTAGATAAATAGGATATTTTTTCAAAATTGGTGAATGCGACAACCTCCTTACACCTCTTCAAAACCCGTGTCGTCAGGCCTGATCAATAAATGAAAAATGTTGTATTTCTTTATTATGCTTCAGTTTCTTTATTAAACTTTTGTTTATTTATTATGATTCAGCTTTATATTGGTTTCCATTAATTTTTATTTATATATATTATTATTATTATTGCTATTATTATTATTATTATTATTATTATTATTATTATTATTATTATTATTATTATTATTATTATTATTATTATTATTATTATTATTATTATTATTATTATTATTATTATTATTACTATTATTATTATTGCTATTATTATGTAAAATAAAATAAAATGTTATTATAATCGAGCTAAATTAAAACCTAAAAATATGAAACAAATTAATCGAGCTAGTTAAAACCTATCAATATGAAATGAAAAGCAAAATAATAACTTGCAAAGATTAAATTAAAAAATTACAAACATTAAATTAAATTAAAAAATTTTGTACAAAATTTAACTTTTATTATGATTTTGATAAATGATCTTAATAAAAAATATTTGAGTTATTTTAATTCAAAAAAGTTAAGTTAAACCAAAAACTACCCAAAAATGAAAATTTCGGAAACAGATAATATCGTTTTTTTGCGTCTAAACTGACGAACAAGTTTTTTTTTAATATGAAATTATGTCGCTAGACAGAGAAAAAATTAAATGATTGTTTAAAAAGAAATGCCAAGAAAATAGAAGGAAATATGTTTATATTTCTTTCTACTTTATGTAACAAAATCCTTAATAGAATCTGCGTATTAATATCTACATCATTTGTATTTTTAATTATAAATAAATAAAAATGTTTTCAGAATTAAAATACAAGTAATTTTAATCTAAATAACATTTTTTTTTTTAATAAAATAATTTTTTTTAATATAGTTCGACTCGCCTTTTTGTTAAGTTCATTTATATTAAAAAAAGTCTAATATTTGCTCTAACAAGCGATTCATTCAAATTTTAATAAAAAATTTTCCTTGTTATTTATTTCTACCGTATATCAATGCAATACTTTCAGTAACTTTTAAATAAATACTATTTATTCATTTGAATTCCAAAGAAAACTTTAATCCAAATTTACTTTTAAAAGATTTAAGGATACTTCCCTTTTAATGTAAGTGTTATGGTTTCCTTTAACGTTAAAATAATTGATTTGGTATATAAGTACATTACCTCGTTGAATATTATTCCAAAAAATCACGACGTGGTCATCTCTATCATTTCTGCTTTGTTCATGATAAAACCCAGCTGCATGCATCATTTCGTGAATAGCTGTCCCAATATCAAGACACCAATCTCCGAGTTTCAATTTTTGACTGTTTCCTTGACGACCTATTATTGACCAACACCTGACCAACATAAAAAAAGAAACAATTTTTAACTTTGACACAACAATATTTCAAATAAAAAAATTTATTTGCAAAATCTAGAGTTAAGTCATTAGTTTATTGTTTATTTGGCTCACATCCTTATTCACACCCTTGTTCACACCCTTTTTTTTATTTTTTTATTTGGTGTTGCTCATACCCTTGTTCACACCTTTTTTTATTTTTTAATTAGCATTGCTCATACCCTTGTTCACATCCTTTTTTTATTTTTTATTTAGTATTGCTCATACCCTTGTTCATTAACCATGTGTACAAAATCACGTTGATTTGTTCGTGGCACAAATCGAACGCATGTGTGTTGGTTGTAGGAAGTAATAGCTTGATTGACTAACTGCCGTCGTCGGTTGTCTAATTAAATATTAAATTCAATAAAAACCATTATTAAAGAATATATTTTATAGACCAAAATAAAAATTTATGAAAAACATAACGATAAGTTAGTTCTTACCAAAGTTGTTATCAAAAACGTAAGGTATTTGTGCTCCAGGCCATATTCTATCTAAGGTAACGCCTTTAAACTGATTCTCCGTCAGTTGACCATTAATAATAGCTCTTGTCTCAGGATCAAGCCCTATATCACCTTCAAATGCATCTGGGTTCCCATAGTTTACTCTCACTAAACATAAAGAATGATAAACAAGTGTACTGATAATTTTTAACAACTTTTAAAGTGTTACTTAGGCATGGCAAAAGCTAAAAAGGTTACCCTTTACACGTGTATTAAAATACGTATAACATTTACTCGTAATTTATCTTCCTGCTGTGTTTACTTAGCAGATTGAGTTACTCAATTATCATTGACTTACTAATTGCATTAATTGTCACTAAAAGCTACAAGTGTTATATAATTAAATGTAGAACCACACATAATTATCACACATAGATAATAAAAGGAAAAGTATCTTATGGAGTAAAATTTGCCCAAACCTCACTTAACTTTGAAAGTTTGTGAGATTTTAAGTTAAGGATAAGATAGTAAAGCTAACCCTGACCCTGACCTGCAGATATGTATGCTTGCAATAAAACCAAAAACGCCCAAAAAATATTCATGTTTGTTGACAAAAATATAATTTTTTAAACAATAATTATAACATATGTGTTTGGCTTTATATAAATTTTATAAGGCAGTTGTGTAAACATAAAATCGTATTTTATTTTAAAATAAAACAGCTGAGCGAATAACATGCAAAGTTATTAGTCCTATAAAATTGTTACAAATTAAATATTTTGAATAAGAAATTGCTATAAAATGAAAAAAAAAATGTAAACTCCTAAAACACGTCTACCCGCCATTTAAGTCTACCCGCCATACTCTATGAACAAATACAAACTAGCACAAACATTATACAGCAGTTTACTTTTTTGGTGAAATTTAAAAAAATTACAACTTTTTAATTGTTTTAACTTTTTTTCAGCTTGTATAATATTTTCCTGCTACAGTTTTGTTTATTTTTCGCGTATTTTTTCAGTGCGATTAGAAATAAAATGTATGTACATAAAAATTTGAAAAAACTTTCATCTCTAAATATATCTAAAATTAACTGAAAATGATAAAATAAATATAGAAGAAGAATTTCTGTATAGACATACTAAATAATTAATTAATTAACGTAGATGCCAAACTTTTAAAATAATTGGCTTTTAAAAATAGGCCTAAAATTTTTTACGTAAAGTAACAATATAAACAAGTTATAACAATAAATTACTTTTGTTACGTTTTTATATATATAGATTATATTTGTATATATATATATATATATATATATATATATATATATATATATATATATATATATATATATATATATATATATATATATATATATATATATATATACATATATAAAAGTTTAATTTTGCTATGAGCATATATTCAGCAAGAGTGCTCGATGAATGATGTCAAAGCTATATAGTTGATTTTTTGACGAAATTAAATAAAAAATAACGACATAATTTTTACTACTAAAAGTTTCATGTGGTTAGCAATCATCAGGTAAAAATACAATATTTCTTGCTTGACAACTACAAAATTATATATATATATATATATATATATATATATATATATATATATATATATATCGCTACTTGCGTGAAATTCCGAGTAATGTTTTAAATAAATCGAGTGTTATAATTATTTAGTTTTACATATAGGGGAAAGCGAGGCAACATGGCGAATGGGGCAAGATGGGTTTTCATTTAACAACTTAACGAAAAATTTTAAAATTGGATGAAATCGAAACTGTATTTGCATCTTGTATTTTAAAACACCAATTGGTTTTTTGAAATATTATTAACGCAATTTTATACAAATAAGTTTACTTTTTGCGCTTAAAAAAAAATTCCTCACTTTCGGTTTCTCATAATGGTTGGTGTCCTTCAAGCTTAACTTCTTTAGAGGGTAGTTTTTGCAATTTGTGTTTATTTTTTGTTACTTTAATTAGAGTTGTTAGCAGTTTTTAAAATTTTATAAAATTGGAGGTAAAAATTGCATAATAAGTCATCTTGCCCCGGTCACGTGACCAGATGACAAATTTATGAACTTTTTATTTTAAAATTTATTTCAAATTGTTATATTTGCAAACTGAAAATTCATGCAGGCAATGAAAGAACTTAAGAGCATAAACATACTGAGAAAGTATTATGGCTTCACGACTTATAGTTTTTCGATAACTTAGGGCTTTCAAAACTTAGGGCTTTCGGCAAATTTTGGAAAACGAGGACCTTTTTTTTTTTTTTTAAGTCGGCAAAATGTAATGGCACCTCCCCCCCCCCCCCCATCACGTGATACCTACTCGATTATAACATATATATATATATATATATATATATATATATATATATATATATATATATATATATATATATATATATATATATAGATAGATAGATAGATAGATAGATAGATAGATAGATAGATAGATAAAACTAAATAACTTTTTTAAAACATTACTCGGAGTTTCACGCAAATAGCGATCATCAGATGTTATAAATCTTAAAAATAACGACAAAAAATACTTATATTAAAAATACTGTGGAGTGTCCTCTTTGATACCAATAAAGTTATTTATCACGTATTTATTTTCCTCGCGACACTTAGACGCAAGTTTGTTTCGTATTTAGTAAAGGCAATGGGGATACAAATTATTTGACATTTTTCCATCAAGCATAAGTTGCATGACTTACCACCAGGTTTAAACGGTTCAGCCTAATCTAAACTTTTCCACGAAAGGGCAGGATTTAAACCTTTCTTTTTAACACTCCACACAAATTTAGAAAGTTCGGTAGAGTTTGACCCACTTTCATTACGAAAGGAATTTTTATGCTTGCAAAAGCGTAATAACATTATATAAATAGAGTTTAATAAAGTCTTTGGCAACGGCAGTAATGTTTTCTTAAAAACCACTAGGATATACTTCTTATAGGGTTAGATATCATTGAGGGAATAGCTTTAAGAATGTTTGGAGGATGGTTCGAATTAACATTGATATATAATGGGATGTCACCTGCTCTTTTATATGGCTGATAAGAATTGTCAGACAAGTTGAGCAAAACGTCAAGAAAGTTAACAGTTTTTAAATTAGATTTTATTGTTATATTTAGTTTGAATTTTTATTTAAAAAGAGTGATAAGGTTTTTCTTTATTATTTACCGATTGCAGTCCACTAATACCATTGAAACATAATACGTATTCCTTGCTGATGGTATATAAAATAAAAAAGCATACCAGTTCACACAACTCACCTTCCCATTGTCACGTCAAAATCGGAATCACCTGATTTTTTAACCCATATATTATTTCTTGTAAAAAGTTAGGATTTTCTAGAATGGTAAATAATATCAGTTGTCTTGTCTGAACTTTGAGTAAAATTTTTGGCGTGAGCCAAAGAATTGTGAAGAAGCTGTTTAGAAATGGAAGGATAAAAATCAACAATATCATATTGAACAAAAACAGTTTTTTTTGCCATTGATGACATGGAACCATTTTAAAACGTCATTTGTACTATGCCATTGATGGATAAGCGTAGCATTTCTAATATTCTTGTAAATGTCGTCCAGTAAAGTTTTGCTAACTTTTCCTAGCTCAGGCTTAGCAGGGTTGATTAATTGGCACTGAGGGTTATTGGTGAAATTTTTATTGTGGTCTTTTACGTTAATAAATGCTGTTTTCATAGCAAGACGTTCTAATCATCAATACCCAAGTTTGTTGCAAACTACTACAATATTATTGCTGTTTTTTGTTGAGCACTCTCTAATATATCTGGTTATTATAAATAATTCCAATAATGAAATTTTCTTTGTGGTCTTTTACGGTAATTTCACGTATTTAACAAAAAAGTACTCAATGTGGTTAAAGTACATTCTACTTTTGAGATTCTTAGACTTTTTGTTTAGATTCACTAAACATTTTAAAAACAGCTATACGAATTTCTAACATTTAATTTCAATACTATAATTTTACTTTTTGAATTAATCAAACAAAGTAAGTAAAAACTATTATTATTGTATAAATTATACAGTACTATAAACTTATGAACCTATGTTGAGCTCTCTTTCTAATAATAAAGTGTTAAAAAAATTTATTGATCGAGCATAGTTTCTTGACTACGTACAAAACAACAAATGTTTTAAGAAAAAAATATTTTGACTTTCATTTACACTTAGAAGAGGTTTTCTGATGCCAACAAGAAACTCAAAAATGTTTCTATCATTATATAGGTTAGAGTTATCAAAATGAACTTTTCAAAAAGTGCATAGGAATCATCCATGGTACCATCATTAAGGAGACTCATACGGCCATTTACTATTCCATTCCATTAACTGAGCAAATCACCTTTGTTCTTTGGTTTGTCTTTGTTTACCGGTTTTTCTTATCTGTGCCAATGTTTATCTTTTCCATGCCGGTGTTCATTCTGGCAAATTTACCTGATGCTGGTGTTCATTCCGACAAATCTTCCTTTGAAGAGAAAAACTATTTTGGTCAAGTTCAGTTGCTTTACAATTCTTTTAGTGAAAGTCCAATTTGATGAAAAGTCTTAGAAGACAATACTGATATGTCTCTTCATTAAACCTCGCAAACCCGATGAAGTGCACGCTTTGAAGTTGTAAAATTGTTGCCGATTCACAACCTCAAAGCAACCTTGGGATGTTCTTTTATTTTTGCAGAAGCGTCGTGACCTCTATCTAACTGCTAATCTATCGAATGAAGTAAAAGCTCTGGAAAAATGAATTCAGCCATTTTAATTTATCATTATGACAACGTTTTCGTTCAAAGCTTTTTAAGCAATGTCAGTGTCTCACTTCAATCAAAAATTATTTATTTAGATGATGAGATGAAGTTTATCAAGATGAAAGACTCTTATCAAGAGTCTCATCAGACCAAATTTAAATTATTGATGAAGCACATCTGATTGCATCCTGTCAAGAAAGTTATTCTTTTTAATTAGATTTTGGTTTATCGGAGGACAGACTTTTCACGAAAAAGCTAATTACAAAGTTCATTTACACAAAAAAGAAGAGAAACAGTTTGTTGTGAAAGTATTGCTCTCGATATTAAAATTCTACAATTAACAGACAATTAGCAGCCTCAAGCTGCAGAAAAGTCTACGAACAGGTTTTTTTTTCATGTAGCTCTTAGAATCTAATAAAAGGTCGAGTGAGGAAGTTGAATAACCTAGCCTAGAAAAAAAACACAAAACTTTGGCGCAAATCTATGTGATCGATACGAATGAAAAGAAACTTATAGGGGAGGTTCGTCAATTAGATACTCTGATCGCGCTAACTTTTTTGGCCCAAAAGAATTTCTTACTTTGATAAAGCTATTGAATGGGATCTATCAGAAAGGTCTACAGTCTCTATTTGAATCTATATGCTTTTTTCTGCGCATTTTTAACACGTTTCTATTTTTGTTGCTGAAGGAGAGCGATTTAGTCAAGACTGAACTATGATCTATCATGACACAAGATTGACTTACCTTTTTTTTTTTAGCTATATCTAGCAAGAACTATCTTGCAAAAATTCTGTGCTAAGACAAAATTATTGCAAATTTT